CCCCCCCCCGCCCCAGGGCTAGGGCCCTAGCGTTCACCTGCCAATCCCTGGTATTCTGGCAAGGTGCCCAGAGTAGACCAGAGGCCGAAGGAATGGTTTAAGAATTAAACCGAAGGCCCAACCACAGCCCTTCCTACAGAATTCCCACCCTGTGGAGGGAGCTCAATAGTAAAACACCCTGGAAAGAGGGGGTTAACTCACCCCCACTGAGGCCCACTCTCAACTGACCAGCAAACAGGGAGGCAGGAAGGGGAAGCGCAGAGGAAGTAAACACCGAGCACTGGGAGGGAAGAGTCTAGAATATTTTTACCGCCTGTGGAAATGCATTATTACTGTTGAGTCACAGAACATCAGAGCCGAAAAGATTGTCAAGCCCAAGGCGTCTGACACACAGTTTTCAAACGAGGAGACCGACCCGGGAGGTCAGAGCGACTGGTCTTCGTCACACAGCTGGCTCACGGTAGAGAAAGAACAAAGTCCAAAGCCTTTAAAAACTAGACCGGAGCCCTTGTCCACACACCACATGTGCCCCTCCAACCTCCAAAGTGTAACGTGACCTGTTCGCACTTCGAAAGGCTCTCTTGCATCCTTCTCTTCTGGATCGCTTCTTCTGAAGGTAGCTGTCTGCAGACCTCCCCACCTTTCTGTCCGTCTTACACGCAGGGGCACCCATATGCCTCCCACTTCCTCTCTGGGCCGCCAGGTGCTGTGAACAGTTACCAGACGTACCCTGTCCTCATGTCAGTGGCCCTCGTTACCGACCCGTACGGCCCTTTGCACGCTCGATTCTCGCTGTGTGTTTGCGGGGCTCGGCAAACGCTCTCTTCATCACTGCCCCTATTGTCACCCGTAACCATCATCTGTGAAGATCCTGTGTCTCCTCCTTTGCACCCATCCATCTGACCCGTATGCTTCACCATTCACGTTTCATCGCGCGCGCCCAACTGACAGCATTGTATTCTGCAGCAGACGTCGTCCTCGAAACTGACTTCGGGGTCCATACACACACTCATTCCACGTAATTTTATGTCACGGACTTAGGTATTTTTCCCCCAGTGGTCCTGCAATCTACCTGGCTTCACTTCTGACGCGTTAAGAAACAACAGCGGTTTCCAAAAGCTAAGGATGGAAAGAGTGATACAAGATATGCTCCCCTAACGTTCCCTCTTCTCATCCCACAAACAGGCAATATTCCATACAAACCATTAGAGTCTTCTTTAGTCTCTGGAAATTGTATATATTTCTCCGGTTGTCATTATCTTGTTCCGACACGTGGGCTGGGAATGTAATCTTAGCAGGGTGATATCTTTATAAAGTGTAGTCCTTGAAACTACTGAACGGAGAGGTCAACATCCCTCTCTACTTCAAGCCAATAACACACACATGGAATGAAGTCATTTATTGCTTATGGTGTGTAGCGTTTGTTTTCTGGAGATAAAGGAAAGAAAAACATATTTTTGAGACAGAACTAGCCAGCGGGCACATTGAAAAAGGTATTTAGTGATATGACGAACTACACTTCCAGTCTTGAAGACGAAACAGTGAGAACGGAGAAAACTAAAGGGAGTTCCCATCACCTCCTCAGAGAGGAGAAAGTGCCAGCAGAGAAAGAGGGTCTTATAAGAATGGGTGATCAGGGGCGCCTGGGTGGCTCGGTCGGTTAAGCGTCCGACTTTGGCTCAGGTCATGATCTCACGGTCCGTGGGTTCGAGCCCCGCGTCGGGCTCTGGGCTGACGGCTCAGAGCCCGGAGCCTGTTTTGGATTCTGTGTCTCCCTCTCTCTCTGCCCCTCCCCTGTTCATGCTCTGTCTCTCTCTGTCTCAAAAATAAATAAATGTTAAAAAAAAATTAAAAAAAAAAAAAAGAATGGGTGATCAAAGAAATCAGCCACAGTGAGCTGGAACACTCTGTCCTATCAGAGAGAAGTCAGTCTATAAATGACCAGAAAGCC